CTTTCAAGTGTTTGGTTGTAGGTGTTTCATCCTAAATGACAAAGATGGTCATGGGAAGTTCAACTCCAAGGCGGACGAAGCGATCTTCATCAGTTACTCGAAGGAGTCAGCAACATATCATGTCTACAATAAAAGCACGAAAATGGTCAATGGAAGTGTCAACTTTTCATTCGACGAATTAGAGGACTTGGCTTCTGAACACGTCAGTTCAAAACCCGTGCTTTCTAGAGTCCGAGCAGTAGATCAACATAGTCCAAATCCAGCGACAAACTCCAATGAGACTTCTAACTCTCATACTTCTGATTTGGATTTTCTGTTTGAAAACTTTTATAATGAGTATTTTGGAACAACTACAACTAATGATATTCTTTCGGTTTGAAACAGTGTTCAAGTTGTCAATGAGGAGGAATCAGACTCACCTTCTGAAGCTTCTATATCAAATGATATAACCGACACAACTTAGAACACTGTATCAACCAGGGGTGCTTTATGGGTTGGGTTGATCTGGTTGAAGACATTTGAACAACTCAACTCAATGCTTGCGGTTTGAAAAATCTTAACCCAACCCAACCCGAACCAAAGTGCAACCTAACCCAACCCAACCCGTACGGGTTGGTCGGGTTGGTCAGATTGGTCGGGTTAGTCGGATTGGTCGGGTTGATACTTTGGTACATTAATATTCTTCTAACCTAGAATATGTTATTTCTTTAAATAATTTCTTTTTCATCATCAACCATTTGATACAACTTATCCATATTTCTTATGTATATCACATTCAGTTAATTTTCTCAATTTACATATATATGTTCACAGTTACTGAACATATATAGGAATAAGTTATATAAAGATGTGAATAGATTGAAAATATGTGTATATGAAGAGCATACATGATAGTGTAGTTGTCTAATGTACATATTAATAGAAATTCAACAATCATATTAAATCCAAGAAATAAAAAGATATCGTATTCATCGGGTTGGGTTGGGTTGGGTTGGGTTGGGTTGGGTTCAAGTGGATGAGTTGAGGAGATTACTAAAGGGCAAATCTTCATGTAGCACGTGAATCCGACTTCACAACCACAACGACAACCTACTCCTGAGCTGAGACAACCAGCTGAATGCTCCACAGAAGAACTGAAGTCCTTATTATACGCTAAGCTGTTGTCCGAGACAGATGTAGGAGGACAGGTAGAAGCTGACCTCATTGGCACAAACCCAACCTAAGTATGTCACGAGATTGGAGTTCCAAGCATTTCAAGATGAGGTCCGAGGCAGTTTTTGAAGTCTCTCTACTCAGCTCCACGCAGTGGCAGACACTACCAGATCATCTTTCCAAACCATGTTTGAGAGGATTCAGATTCTTGAGGACACATGCAAGAGTCATGAAAGTGGTTCAAAGCACAAACATGATGACGGAGACAACGACCCCGATCAGCATGAGGGGGAGAAAAGACAGAGAACCACCGGCCCTGACGGCTCCCGTGATATCCAAAGACAGACCTCCAGTGCAGAACCATCACAACGACAACAAGGCCAAGGTCAACATTCCACCAAAGCGGCCGAGGTGGAACAAGAGCCAATGGCTGAAAAGTCGGCGACTGCTGAAGGTCAAAGAGCTTAAATGTCTACTGTTGCTGCTAAGGTCCCATGCCCAACTATTGACTCAGTATATGATGAAGAAGGGCCTCAGCCTCAACAAATCAAAGAAGAAATTGAAAACTTCTTCACGTTCTCTAACAATGAAATTGTAATATTCAGTTGTTAGATTATAGTTGATCGATTTTAAAGGTTATGTGGTAATGGAAAGTTCGGGGTTAGTTGTTGTCATTCAAGGGTTGGAGAGGAATCGGTCTATGGTTCTTTTCTCTAAAATTTGTTTAGGTAAATATCATTATATATATGGGGATATATATATATATATATATATATATATACATATATATTTTGTGTGTGAATGAATTGATGGAAGGGGGTGAGTTGATCTAAAAACAGAAGCATTCTAAAGCAATTCCTTCTAAGGCAAAGGTGAGTTCCATAGTACTTTGGTTATGTATGATTGCTATATTTTCACCATATATATATATATATATATATATATATTGCTAAAATGTTAGCATATGTGGTTTGGATTGATTAAAATTGCATTTACTGCTACTGTTTTACTTTATTGCTCAATACATCTCTCAAGAAGAACATTCATCGGACAAGGATTGTCCGATAAGGTCCCTCATTGGATAAGGCAATGACCGATGAGGCCACTTCATTGCACAAAAGGTTAGCTGGTAAGGACCCATCACCGAATACGTGATGTCCGGATAGAACCCCTCACCGATCAAGGCATGTTCGGAGAAAACCCCTCACCGATCAAAGTTATCCGGATACAAAGTGATTGTCCAATAACCCTTTCCGGATAATGTATTGTCCAGACAAGGCTTAAGTATGACCAATTAACTCTTTCCGGATAGTGTGTTGTACGGATAAAGTTAAAGTACTGGCCGGTAACTCCTTTCCAGTTAAAATGTTGTTTGGTTGGATCAGTTATTAACCTGGATATAACCGGGATAGATGAAATGGCGGTATAACCACGATAGATAAAATGTAACATTATGGTTCAGGGTTGATCTATCTTGGGTTTTGAAATAAATTTTGTTTATAAAAGGGTAATTCGCTCAGTAAACCTTTTGGTCTAACCCTCAATTATTGTATTAAACTATTTTGCAGATCGTCCATCATCTTATAATAAAGGCAAGAGAAAAATGTAAGGAAGAACTTGCAAGAAAATGTTATTATGATCAAAAAAAAATTAATCCATATTGTTATTTTGGCATGTGAATAACCTTGGAATGTTTGTATAACATTGCTATGGACAATGTGGACATATATGATATTATTTTGTGTATTAGTACTGTTTTGTACAAGTTGGGTTGTTTCAGAAATCACCTCCAAGAGATCGGCTGATTCCCCAACCACCAATAAGTCAGAGAACCTTGGGCCAGAGTACTCCATCAGCGACACACGTACAAAGGTGAGAGAGAACAAGTATCAAGGTTTCGTTCCTTGAAGATATCGAGTTCAAAGTCTTCGTCAGAAGATATGTTGAATTGGATCCAGTTCGAGTTCTTCGGATCACTCATCTCAACAGCATTCAGGTCATCGAATACATGCACATGCTAAAGGCTAAAGCACAACCGCTAGAGATGGTGAAAATAAGGCACAAGATAGTGGACATAAAGAATATACATACTGACAGACTAGTGAACGTCGGATTCCCAGTCCTCACCGTTCTTAGAACTAAGGACAAGGAATGAAAATTCTCATAAGCTGACTTCAGGCACTTATCTTTCGAAGACTTCGAGACCATGTACCTGGACATCTGTAACTGGACTATTAGACCAAAAGATGTGCAGATAGCCCTAGAAGTTATCAAGCGCTTCATGCTTCGTCAGATAATGCTCGGGTACGTGTCGGACTCGCAGTTGGGCATCGAGAGTAATCAACCGTAGATAAACCTGTTGAAGCCAAAGTAGAGTCTTGAAGACATAAAATCAATCCCTGCCTTTATTCCTGATAATAAAGCAGCCTGAGTTTGGCATAGTGTACTCCAACAACATCGAAGAGAAGAAGTTCATTTGGTTCAACGAGCTAGAGCTTACTCTGACGGAACCTTAAAGCTTATCAAATTGAAGCTGTCAAGCAAGCTCGAGCTGGAAAGAAAAGGTCTCGATAAGCTCAACCCACATGACAAGAACCTGATGATGAATGCTCTGGACCTTATTGACAAAAAGATGTTGTACCGAAGAACACTGCAAAGATTCGAGACATACTTTGGCCACCGCCCGAGAAGACGAAGATTTGTTTAAAGCTGCTTTATTACAAAAGGGGGAGAATGTTAGTTATTCTATTTTGTTTGTAATAAAGTAGAAGGGCTTAATGTGTAAATACCATTAAGGTATAAATAGTTTCCCTATTTTCTAGAATAGGTCAACACTTTCATTTCCAATAATTAGCAAATCAGTGTAAGCACCGACTTTGGCAAACAGTCTATGTACTCAAAACATTTTGATCAATAGACAGCCAACAGACTTGATTCATTGCATTGTGTTTATTCAATTCGTCGTTCTTATATCATTTTGGGTTGACAACAAATGTTTATTGTAAACTTCTCAAGGAATAAGTATTCCTCAAAGAAAAAACTCAAACGAAAGGAATCTTCAACGATATCGAAGAAGTAGCTGAAGAATGAGACATAACAGTCCATTATCTAAAGTAGATTCAGTGATAACAAGAATGTCTAAATCAAAGTGTAAAATCTGACCAAGACTCAACGAACACTGAAGAACCTTTAGAGATGAATCAAGTTTCAGCAATCAAATGAATCTTGCTATACACGATTAAATTTGTCTTATCCTCAAGCAGAAAAAAGACAACCCCATACCTCACACAGAAATTACACATACGGAGTCACTTTACTATCTCCAAACATGCTTACCAACTTCGTGAAAGTAAACTATTCATATCCGACCAAAAGCCTGTATATCTGAAGACAAAAGACACGTTCTCCACTACAAAATTCCCACATGGCTTGTACCCTATGATTTGCATTAAGTGTAATGAGTATAAATAGCTAAGAAGACTATATTTTCAGCAATCACCTTCTTCTCATTCCAACACTCTTCTCTCTGGTTCTTATCTTTTGTGCAAACTATATGTTTATAAGATTGTTTTGATTAGGTTTTAACCTTATCTTCTTTCGCAACAATCTGAAAATTCCATATTGATCTTCTTTTATCAACGAATGAATTTAAAAAGTGAAAATTGTGTGTTTGTATTCATCTCCTTCTCTACAAACTGTTACCTTTAAAAGTTTTAAAGGTAACAATTTGTAGAGCAGAGGATGAATACAAACACACAATATATATATATATATATATATATTTCAGTATACAACATACAATGGCTTCATAACCTTCTGAACTATTTGCATCTAAGAACCTTGTAATCAATAAAGATACTAAGTCATCGATTCCTACTGGTTCTATGGTAACTTACTCATCACCACCTAATGTTCTTCGTAAAAAAAAAAAAAAAACTTTGTAAATTCCCTTCAAATACAGCTATGTTATGGTTTCAATGTCTTCTTTTTAAGAGATATAACTAATTTGTTTAACCTTAAAAGGTCGAATTTATTTTGCATGAGTGTCCATTAGCAATGGAGTCATATATTTCCTTTCCCTTGCCTTGCACCAACAATTTTAACACCGAGGGCTGCAACTCTTCATATAATTGCTGAAAGACTATGAGACAAAAGAGAAAATCAAGGATTCAACACAACTAAAAAAGCAAGGATAAAAACTCTTCTAGCAACTACAAAAGAATAAATAAGCAAAATGATGGATAGGAACCAAACAGATGCTTGCATTCAAGTGGAAAAAAAGATGAACCAAAATAAGCCAAGAGAGTTGTAAGAATCAATAAAATTATGAACTGAAAAATCATAAAAATCATCTCACTTTCAAGTAAGCAATAATATTTCTACAAAAACAAAAGAGTTCTACAATCCTAATCTAGCATAAGCTGTGTCAAAAATACCTTCCAATGAAGATATCGTTCTCAAAATTCAATCCAAACTTGTCAACAAGTTCAACATGCTTATGGGTCAACATAAAAATCTAAAACACTTGCACTAGTTCTATACATCAATGAGCAATTGGTGCTATGGTACATCTTTCTGATTACAATGTAGTTTCATTTTTAAGTATATAGAGCATACAAGAGATCAAGTTTGGTATCATCTATATTCACCCAAACTTATATCATATGCAAATGTGGATGTTATATATTTTAAAGGATATAGATTTGAATCAATGTGGATGTAGTAGAGAACAATATATTGAACTAATGAATTCCGAACCCAAGTCAAAGGATAAACACTTTCCCAAATATGCATAACCTTTTTGTAGGGCAACAAAAATTTATCATAACAATTCATAAAGCAACATATATAGATGATGGTTTATATAAAAAAACATTGATAGGCTAGAGCATCTGACCTTAGCTACTCCGGTGAAATGATTAGCGATACTTGAGAATACGCTTCATGACCTTCATCATCAGTGAGAATAACATCATTATCTTGTTGAAGTGAAATGGCCATCGCACTTTTATTGAAAACAATCGTCTCCATGAGTTCAAAAACTTATAATGAAAAAAAGTAAGATTGAAATTTTATATTTTCAAGTTATTCAGGAAAATTTGTAAACATCAGACGTTTATACGAAGTCATCATGGAAATTTGATGGGTTGATTCCGGTCTGTCAAGATTAAAGCAAGAAAGCTAAATCCAGAAACTAAAAAGAGAATGGAGAAAGTTGAACGCATGCAGATAGAATGGGGAGAAACCAAAATGGGATTCAGATATACAGAAAACCGAGAAGGAAAAACTGTTAAGAACAAATGTTCAAATGGAAAGCTGTTGAGAACAAATGTTCAAATGAAACCTTTAAGCCGTGAGGTCAATGCAAGCATTCTAATGGACAATATGACAGCATTCAACAAAGCTAACCAATATTATTAACATTCTTATTGTTGATCTCATAAAATTCTCTATTAAGAAGGTAAAACAAACAATATAATCACATACCAATTTTTTGTCGAGCTGCTCTCTTGCCTTCTTTTCTTGCTAAGTCTCACCTATAAGAAAAAGTGGTTATATGAAATCATTGATGGCATAATATAACACTAAATCCCTTTGAGGCATTTCCTCAAACACCTTATGTGCATATATTGAAACAAAAAGAATGAGATTGAAAGTACTTTGGAAAGCTAAAATCCTATGATTTTGATAAAGAAACCTCAAGAATAAATGACAAAGATTTTGAGCAAGCAACCCACTACAGGTGCGTAAATCAAAATGATAGTGAATCTGTGTTTCCAGTAAATCAAAAGATTTTGGCGAGTGTTTGTTTCCAGTGAATCGAAATGACCAAGCGTGAATCGATGGATTGAGCAATCGATTACCTGGACCGAGCGTTAATCGAGTCTTGAATCGATAGATTGAGCATTGGATTACGAAGTGAACCGATGGGAGTCTTGAATCGGTAGAGAAAGCATATACATATATCATGAATCGATGAGATCCTTGAAGCTGGAACCGATGAGATACTTCGGTATATGCTATGAGAGCGTGTTCGGAGAGAGTGTTCAATAGTCTCTTTGGTATAGCAGTAGGAAGTTGTACATTAAGCATAAAGTACTGTAATTTAGAGATTTTAAGATATTATGCATAAATAGTAGTAATGTGTGTTTAAAAACTTATTTTTAACACTTCTATGAATTTGCTTCGTAACTTAGGGCTCGTTATCAAATGGATACTCAGGTAAGTGAATATCAAGTCATATTATTTTATCGGATGAATATGGTAAGGACCAAGAGCCTTACCCGGTAAGTGAGGGCGATGACTATTACCACGGTAAGCGCTTACTAGGTAAATTGTTGCATATGATACTGTTTTGTTGGACCAAAAATGTTACGCGGTAAGTAAATAATAATATTGTATTTTACGGGCAAACACTTATCGAGTAAGTATTTGATAAACGGCCTCTTAATAGTTAATATAGATATAAGGCTAGGTTCAAATGAGAAAAATGTCAATTTGTAAGAATGCTAGAAACAATATAAACAACATATCTATTAATTAAAAAATATAATAAAATAATTTTGAATTGGATCAAATATTTTGATAAAGATATAATTGTAACAAAAACATTATTTAAATTCCTTAAAATCTCATTATATCTTTTTAGATTTATTTATTTTTTAATTTTAATTAATTCATATTTTTTATCAAGTTTTATGTAATTTTTGTTTAGATATACCTATACTATATTATAAAGTATTTGATAAAAACTCTTAAAAATCATTTTTTATGCGTAAAGTATTGTTTTTTAAAGCATATTATTTAGAACTCAAGATTGCAAGAAGATTGTGCATAAGTACCATTTATTAAAGCTCTATATCTGAATTCGTGTAACTAACTGCAGATAAACATAATTAAATACAGAATAAACATCTCATTTTAGATATAAAAAATCTAAAATATAATTAGGATAATCATTGAGTTCTATAAAATGTTATATTATTAAAGTAAAAATAAATTATTTCATTATTAAACTTAAATTAAATTATAATAAAAAAATAAATTAAAGAAATTACATAAAAAATGAAAATTTTTAAATAGTTGATTTGATATTAACATTGATATATTTGTTTTCAAATTTTTATGATATCTTCAAATTTATATTTTATTCAAAAATAAAATCATTATTTCTTTTTTAAAAACACATAAAATCGTATTATAATATTGACAGAGACAAATAATAAAATAGAACATTAAAATCGAGATGTGTCTCTCTGCATTACGCGAGTACTCTTCTAGTATTTGATAAAAGTTTCACAATTTTCATTAATCTACAATAAATTTATTATATTTTCACTAATTTTTAATAACGTTTTAAATCACATGTGATTAGTTTCTTTTAACATATAATTTATTAAGTATCACATATAAGCCATTTTATAAATTTTTATACATATCACATATCTATACTATCTTATAAAGCATTTGGCTAAAACTCTTAAAAAACTCTTAAAACTCTTAAAAACTCTTAAACCCGTTCATCCTTATCCAATTTCAGTCCTATCCGATTTCATCTCATATCTGAATTCGTGTAACTAACTGCAGATAAATACAATCAAATACATGATAAACATCTCATTTTTAATATAAAAAATCTAAAATATAATTAATATAATCATTGAGTTCTAACAGAATACTTAATTATTATCTTTATAAAATTTATAATATTAAACCAAAA